CCCCCCCCCAGTGCCCTGCTCCGCTTCTCCCAGCTCACACGGGGGCTCCCGGAAGCATGAAGTGGGGCAAGGCTCCCCTTAACTTCCTCTTTCAATCCTGCTGTCTGCCTCAACAGGTTGGCGTAGAGAAACGCCTCCGTTTTCCGTATCCTTGTCCTCAACCCCAAATGCAACTTTTGCTAGTCTCCCCATGCATCTGCGGCACCTTACATGAGGACTAGAGTAAAGAGCAACCTTTGGCGCCCCTTGCTTTTTTTTTTCTTGCCTGGGTAGGAGGGAGATTTCAAGTGGGTGCATGTGTTAGTACCTTCAAGGCATGGGATCTTTGTATTTAGAAATGAAAAACCTGGCTTTGCTGATCAGGAAATAAATAGGTAAAGGGAGACCGGAGTCTGAGAGTCTCTGTTCTCATTGCTATATTTTGGAAAATGTGAAATCTTTGGCATCATCCATGTTCAGAAATAAATAGCATTTCTCCCTTTCTTTTTTTCCCCCTTTTTCTTGAAATGGAAGTGAAAGAAACTGCTGCTTAAACTGTTACATCAGCCCAACAAAAATGCTCCTTCTTTGACTCCTGCTCTTCAACTTTCTTGTAAAACAGAATGCTGACAATATGATTTGATAGCACGCAAAGGAAGAGAAATAATCCGGTTTCCTTTACAGTAGGTACCCAAGATAAGCGACAGAAGGTCAAGCTAGAACTAAAACACTTGAAAAATATTTAGTCTTTTTTTTTTTGTAGAAATAAACAAAAGGAACCTTCTTGTCACCCTTGGAAATTTGGATGAAGAGGAGAATCCTCATTTTTTAAAAAAAAAAATAAAAACCTTTTATATTCCTATTAGATGCAGAAAGCGCTCACTGCTAAAATGATATTTAACCCAAAAGAAAAGAGTGTAAAAACAAAACCTTGATGCAGTTTGTGTGTGAAAGGGGGAACAAAGCTGCTCTGGTTTAAAGTTATGGATCCGAGTTTGGTCACCAACTGATCTGGGAAGAACGCAGGCAAAAGAAACTGCTCCAGGCTTGTCTGTTCCACCTAAAGCTCGGAAACAGGAGAGAGAGAAAATGAGGCCAATGCAACATATTTTAAGAATTGTTATAAATGTTGCTTTGCTAGTATCTTGTCAAAATGTTTACAGATCCCTCTGTGGGACTTTATGCCACAAATTCAAATGGAACTGAATCCAGAAATGTAATGGAGAAGGATATTCAGGTTGTTTTTTACAAGATGATTCAGTGACATCAGAGTTTGAAAAAATCTTAAACATGAAAGGAATATGAAGGATATGGTGGAAATGATCTTATTATCAATGCCATGGTGCCAAAGATGCTGTCAGTTTTCTATCCCTATATTTTGTTCTAGGCTTCTACCTCGTGTTTTACTTTGGCTAAAAGGTGTGAGTTTACCGTCACCTCCCTTCTTCAGCCATGTTCTGGCTCCTGAAAGTGTATCCCTCTTTTCTTCCTCTTTCCCAAAATATCCTGTCTGCTGTGAAGGTAGA